ATTGAAGTAATTTGGCGGTTTAGGTATTTCTTGTTTAATATCCGGTTTGCCTTTTTAATTCCTAGTTTTTGTTCATGAATAACCTCCGTAATCAAAGAATTGTATCGTGTAAAAAGAAAATCTAGAAAGTTTGCATTATTACGGAAAGTGGCTATATTACGAAACCATTACCAGCCATAGCCAGCTATATCAGTCATGAAGTAGTCATGCGTTATGTTAGAATATCATTGCTAAACAAATATTTACCAAGTTGGAAAACTTTCTCTTATGTTTTTTATGAAGTAATGAAAAAATATAATAAAGACAATTTTTACGTATGTTTTGAATATCTGAAATAATTTAATTAAAAATATTATTAGTATAGTATTATTTATAGCTTTCGAAAGCTCAGTGTGACATTTTCTAACACCCGTTTAAGTTAAGTATCAGATTTGTATTAATTATGCATTACAATATAATCTGTAATTTTGCTGAGCACATTTAAAATGTGTTAAAGTTATCTTTTGCCGGGTCTCAGGTAAACCTACTATGAAAATAAATGGTGAAATTGTTACGATTTATTTTCATTATTCATTAAATAATTCTCAGCTTAGACTACAATCTGGTTGCTTTACGTCCCGTATACCACATTGTCAATACGAGTAGTGATTGTTAGAGTAAGCGCAAAAGTGTATCCAGTCGATAGCACAAACAGTTGCTTGAGCCTATTGTCCGCAACTCCCGTGTTTGTCCACCCTAGGAGCCGACCGTTTCAATCAATCTGCCTCTCGTTTGATCAAGCCTTCTGCGCCTTGTTTGTGCAATGTAATGCCACTGGAATTTACGTAGTACTCAGATTCTGATTACTGTGAAAATAGTTAACTTTGTAATCAAGAGATTTTTTTTTTTTTTTTTTTTTTTTTTTTCGGGCCGGGGGCCGAACCTCCTACGAGGTCCCCGCGCCTAGGGGGCGCGCGGGGTATGTGAGACTCAACGAAGAGATACGTTAACTCATTTATCATAAATATTTTATTGTGGTTAGCTTTTCGTCTGATATCAAATGTAAATTATTCAGTCAAATTTCCATTTGGCTTTGACTATTTAATAGTTGTTATATAAGTATCTTTTTTGCGTCCCACGCATTAACGTCAAAGTTATAATAATACTTATGCTGTAACAATTTTAGTAGGAGTTTTCCCTTAGTAAAATTTCGATATCAGATGTGTGGTTTCAGTCTAGAATAGCGCCACCCATCGCTTCCCGTGGGTGTCGTAAATTGCTATAAAGCGCAGCAGCGTTCGTAGGTGTTTTTGCTGCGACGTAGATATGCGTTCCAAGTTCAAGGGTTAGACAGCCGTTATACATTACAATACAATCACGACGTCAACCTGATCTGTCAAGGTCGGTGACGACATTCATGTTGTGGGTTTCAGTAACCCCTTCAGCTGTGAGCTCGTTCACTCATCTATTCGATAAAGAAATGTTTGTCATCTTAAATTTGCAGACCAAGTGGGATCGAATTTCCAATTATGTTGCAACTACGCCTCATCAAACTGAAATGGAGGTTTTTATAGAAGTTTATAGAAATAGGCACGACGATGGTATCAACAAGAAACGTACTCCATTTTTTGGCTCGCAGTACAAAGAGAGGTTATAGTGTTCGTTATAAAACTAACAATGCCATTCGCGGTAATAAAGACAAGAACGATTCTCTCGAGCCCATATTCGCGCCATTGTCTCGCTCAGTAGACTTGAGAGGCTTAAGCCCGCTGTGTTAGACTCAACAGACCATTGTTTAGCTTCCTTCACCTGGCAAGACGAATCCCGCACAAAGGCAACGCTCGTTTCTACACTCGTGTTTGTTTTTATTATGCAATTCTAGGTTTCGGAGTGCGCCGGGTCAGGGTGTATCTTCACTCGTTTGTGAATTGGAGTGAACTAAGCACATGTTCATCTTCTTTGGCATATTAGTGATAATTTCAAGCACACACCACAAACTGTAGGGTTCGGCGTTTTGGGTAACGATGTCGATGACATTGTTAAATTTTTGTTACTACTAAACTGGACTTTTATGGTATTATGTAATTAATAAACGAAATATATTTTTGTGATACGAAAAGTACGATTGAAATGTATCTATTAGTAATGTATTAGCGATGATAGCTCACTGTATTTAGTCTCATTTTGGTTAATCTTTGTAATTTCATTTAGTTTAAAATTAGTTAGACGATATCGAGGGGGATGGGCTATTTGGTTTAAGCGACATTTTTGCAACTTTACAGGAGAGCCATTCAAAGTGTAAAATTTAGAAAAATATCTTGACCCTAATAATACTAAGAATTAATAATCTCAAATTATTATTGAATTCACCCGCTATTTATGAATTATAAATTATCAACGCATATGTATGTACCTAATAATATCACATTAGTATTGGATGGTAGTTTTGTTATTGTCATCGGAAGCAAATTATTTTTCTGTGCACCTTATATGAAGAGGCTACTATCGCTATGAACATATCATGACCATAGCCATACAATAACAAAACCAAACCACGACCTACTGCAAAGTATATAGTACTAATTCATATCGTGATTTCTTTTTTGAGCTGTATTTAATGCTGATTGGCAATACGCGGCACAGCACGACGGCCTAAGCTTAAGTGCATTCGTCCCTGGAAAATCAATTACAATTGGTTGAGGTATCATATGTCATGGTCGTTTTAATACTCCAAATAGTATTTTTAATTTTGGGCTCAATATTCCAAATAATGTTTTTAAAGATGTTTTTATAAATCCTAAATAATTAACCCTTATTAGCAGTACCATTTTATTGTAGTAGAAATATGTTATTAACAAAATAAATGATAATGCTAAATTATTGAAAAAAAAATACATTTCTCAATACGTTTTGCTGTAGTTTCACTTTAGACAGATGGTAGATGTCTATATGAGTTAACAATAATATACAATAGTATGTCTGGGTATATAAATCGATCGTGTTCACGTAGTGAAGGAACTTTATCCCATGGGATCGTAGTCGGCCGTCGCTTTTGTCAAAGTTGTTTGCACTAATGATGGATAATAAGAGATTGATGCTATTGTGCGAGAGTTATATGAACTTTGTTATACGAGAGAACTGTTCGCTAGACCGGGTTCGTAATGACATTACCTCAACATTTAACAGAAAATATCGTTAATATGATAAGCTAAACACAATTTTACACTTTACTTTACTGATGGTAGGACCTTTTGTGAGTCCGCACGGGTATGTACCACCATCCTGCCTATTTCAGCCTTGACTGGTGGTAGGGTTCTGTGTAGAATCCCGCCCGGGTTGGTACCACCGTCCTGTCTATTTCTGCCGCAAAACAGTAATACTGTGTTCCGGTCTGAAGGACAGGATAGCCGGTGTAACATACATAAGGCTCCCCATCCAGGCCAGGATAGGCAGCGCATCTGAGTCACTGATGTAGTTTGGATGTTTATGGGTGACGGTTATCATTTCCCATCAGATGAGCCGTAAGCTCGTCTGCCTATCGAAAGCAATATAAAAAAAAAAATGAAGCAGTAATGCGTTTCGATTTGAAGGGTGGGGTAGCCGTTGTAACTATACTGAGACCTTAGAACTCATATCTCAAGGTGGGTGGCGGCATTTACGTCGTAGATGCTATGGGCTCCGGTAACCACTTAACACCAGGTGGGCTGTGAGCTCGTCCACCTATCTAAGCAATAAAAAAAAATCAGTTGTCATTCCAAGAGGTTCATGGTTCGTGAAAACGAAATCTGAAGCGATAGTAGTTTAAAAACATTCCTCCTTACGTCGAGCATTGAGCTCTCGTGTCAACTGACTCCTGATTGACTTATATTTCATGCTCTCCAAGCAAGACATAGAAAAATACAAAAGGCATAGCAGAAAAAAGGAATGCTGCTCGGAGTACATTGCTGGCAGTGCCACTAGTAGTACCAAAAGTTACGAGTCAATCATTAGTGAACTAAGGTGAACGTTACCACCACACTAATCTTATAAAAATATTACATATAGAGAATATCACTATGTGGTACACTTGAAAACAATAACTATCTCTTTTCACAAAAGGAAAGGTGGAAAAAGCTATAGGAAGGAGAGAGAATATGAAACAAAAAAGTAAATTACACATTACACACAATTATAACAAATAATATCATTAATGAATGCAAGAAAGTGTACGATCCGGAAGTCTTATAAATAGATTGCCACTAGCTTCGTCGTTGTATATCTTTATATATATATTTCTTCTGTGCGTATGTTTGTCACTGAACTCCTCTTAAACGGCTGGACCGATTTGAATAATTTTTTTGGTATGCGTTTGGGTGGCACCGTGGATGGTTTAGATTCACAAACCAGCCCGGCAGATGGCGCTGCAGTCGGTATCATCTAGGTTATTTATCTTTCCTAGAAATAATTTATGTGGCAAAACAACGTTTGCCGGGCCAGCTAGTTATTTTATAAAATATTGAATTGGAATGCGAGTGTGTTATTTTAATTAGAAAACTGTAACAATAAAATTTATTAGAATTAATCAGGGAGTATGAAATGCTTAAATTAATATAAAATATTTTCAATATTTCAGGAATCACGACATTTAATGTATTCTCGGGAGCGGCTCACTACTACTCAGTATTAAATAGCGCAATGTCACAGAACAGTGTTGTCAGCTTTGCTGCGGCTGTGGTTTGCAACGTACGCGTAATGAGCGAAGGCATTGTGTTTCTGTGAATTTATATATATTTGTCGTAGGTATTAACATCACTGTACATCTATGAGGAACCATATTAATACACGTATATTTTTGGAACGAAGTTCCTTATGGAACGATGCGGAGGGGTACCCTAACCGGGAAAAAACGTCCGTAATGTAAGAATTTTTCTATTTAGTTTGTTATCAACAGATGTCGCTGCACGTAGATTCAAAAATTCCTGAATCGCGGTGACGAGATGTTACACAGTTTATAGACGTTCTCGTATTTCTTTTGCTAAATCACACTTACCTGATAGATGCATACCGTGATCCTGTAGGCGGTTCCTCCAGGGCGAGGCTGCTCAATGGCACTGCGGAGTAGTTGACCCTTGCGATTATTATAATTTTTATAAATAAAAAAATCATAATAAAAAATGTATACTCGAATAATTATTTTCTTTATATCTTGAATAGAACTTAAAATTAATATTTTTATAATATGGAACTTCGTTCCTATCCGGTGTCCCACGTTACCACACATTTTTTTTATTCAGTACAGTTTTATGTTTCTATCCTGCCTTGCAAAAATCGTAATACATACTTACACGAATTTGTTTCGACAAGATATTTAAATACAAACGGAATTGAAGAAATAAAGTACATAAATTAAACATTTCGAAAGAAAATATGAAATCTTTTACCCGTTTACAAAATGATCAATGTTTATGTAATTAGTAAATTGTGTACAATTAGTACTATTTACATATTGTTATAATACTGGGAAAATCTATAATCGACTGTAGTGGGTACCCGTTTAAGAATTTTAATTAAGTTAAGCATATAGGATGGTGGAAATTTCAATTTTATGGAAAGAGAATATCTTCAATGATGCTCTTAAGTGTATGCTGTTGAAATTATACGACTCCTAAAAGTTATTTAATATTTTTAGTAGCGTACCCGTCTACGTTTACAGTTCATCTGTTTTTAATTAGCTGACATTATGACAATGTGTCTGACATTAGAGACCTAGTGACTAAAGTGGAATGTATCTTAAGAAAATCTCAATTATACTGGAAGAATGGTTATCTTGAACTTCGAATCGAAATGTATGATTACTTTGCTGCAAAAATAGATTCAACAGTAAAGCAATTGGGGGCACATAACAGACTCAAATATTTACCGGTCCATTTTTGGAAATTTCGTTGTCCTCAGAATATTTAGCGAGATAGGCTCCCACGCAGGTATTTTTTGATAGTTTGATCATGCTTATGAATTTCAAATGAACAGATTATTCTCTTCAATAATATGTATTTGATTTACCGTCGGTGAGGCATGACAGTGTTTTGTTTTATTTTCGTAAACCCGTCTAGATTTAATGAAAAAATATATTATGAAGAATAATATAGACGAACTGCCAATGTTGAAGGAAGAATGATCGATGGCTCAAAGCACGTACTCAGGTGAGCTTCGCCGAAACAACGAGACATGACGAGAGTTCTTTATGCGCTGTATATTTGGAGCATGTGGCAGACTGCAGCCTTTGATGCACCGCTCGTAAATCTATACACGAATTTACAACCTTAAGAACCAGAGAACATAACGTTTTGAATAAGTTAAGGAGTAAAACGTAAATAAAATATAACACATTACCAGTAATACAAAGACATATTTTTTTCAAAAGAGGTGAAGTTAGGCAGTGGATCAGCTGTACTTCTAGGATATTTTTTTCCCCTACCTATACTGATAGCTTTGAGAGGCTATTTCAGCTTCATCTTAACGTGTAGATGGGCACACGGGGCTCAAACCGGAAGTGTTGCTGACACTGGCCCATAGCAAGAGCACTGCTTCGCTTGCTTCGAATCTACTACCGGATCGGAAACGCGACCCACTGCGAAGATCCGGGGAGAAACTCAGTGGGCTGTGTCTATGGGTTAACTTCTAGGACCGCTGAGGTCCTTGTGAAGCAAAAACATGAACAACAGGTATGCGGCAAAAACATTTTAATCATTATACTTTACCTTGTTAGCTCAACAAATTGTCAATTTCCAATAAAAGTAGAAAGCATAGCGACTAAAAATGAGTTGAATTTTCGTAACAATTTCAGCTAGTTTACATTTACCTCATGTTGTGTATACGTGATATAACGTGTAAGGGCCCTTGAGCTCTTGCCGGGAAAGAGCAGAGTACTTCATGCAAACGGGTGGCTTATCCCGATTTTATTAAATAATGCGTGGGTCGCTACAAACTAAATACATATGAAGGAAATCATAATATAATAATAACCTTTAAACATGAATGCTAAGGCAGCCGAAAATAGCCAGGCTATTATGTTGTCACAAATAAATAAAATGTAAATAGCATTACGGCAGAGAACAAAGAGTATGATAATTTGCATAATACTGTTCACCTTTTGACTTGGGACCTGCTTGGTACGGGGCTGGGTCGGAGCCAAGCCGACTCCATTCAGGACCCAACCACGATTATAGGCTTATCTTCTTTTTTGATACTACATATATATGTATATATATGAGTGTTCATTATAGAATAATAAAATGATTTTGTTATGTTTTAATGAAACAAAATAACAATAATATTTGCTCACTTCTTTATATGTGTATGTATGTATGAAAATTGACATAATTTTTCAGTCGGAGTTGATAACAACGAAACACATTCAGCTAGAATTTTTATATAACAAAAAGGTCTAAATTTAAAATATAGCCTTGCAATTAATTCAACTTCATTTATGGAAAAAGTACTGTACCGTTTTCATTATAGCACTGTAACTTATGTTTTGTTTATTGTATTTAAATTTGAAAGATTTAAAAGGATTAAAATAATAATATAACTCTTTATTTGACACCACATGTATAGAGTAAGCATATAAAACAAATAATAGACGGTGACATAAATTGGCGGCCTTATCGCTGAAAGCGATCTCTTCCAGGCAACTTTGCAGGGAGAGGAATAAGCAAACTAGTATGGACGGTGCTATATCTTAATAAACTTACCTAAAAAAAAAAATACTTATATACACATGTGAAAAATAAATACAATATAAGTAGACTTACATACGATTAAATACAAATAAATACTAAAAATATGCAAGAAAATACAAAATAAGTAGCAACTTATACAATTAAAACAACGATCTTAGAAAGTATTATATGTATTAGAATTATACAATTTTGTGCCTGCCTATAATATATCTGTGATCTTACGTCGCACAGGCTAAATAATGCATATGGGCTCCGCGAAAATTCACAATTCCTTAAAACACGGCCACAAGTTCGGTTTTTATTTCTGCACCATAAAATATAGCCGACAGGAGACTCGTTAAAAAGAACACGATCTAGTATTACTCGTTGGTCGAGCGCCGTCGGCTAACCCGCTTTATGTGCACTTAAAGCTGGTTCCTAGACTTGTTTCATCCACTCTAGCTTAACGCGTATCTTAATTTAAGCTTGAGCGGGGAGTGACCGACAAGCCACAAATAAAAACTTTGCAAGTTGAATCCATATATGCACCGAAATGTGTTTTTTCTTAGTTTCTCACAGAATTTGTTTATGTTAGCGTTAACGCTATGAAATTGTTAGCTCTTTTTATTCTATAAATTTAGTGGTTGATTCAATTATTTTTTAATGAGACGGCTGACTATAATTAACGTTTAACGGTTTCATGTTTGACCTTTTCTCGGTTTTAACGACACTGTTTGAATTATAATTCGAGCATGCACAATCTAATCAAAGAAAAAACGAACTTAAACATTTAATTACCATTTACGCATAGTTAGAAGTTATTATAAATCTAGTCATTAAGTGCCGTATCAACATTAGAACTGATTTCTGATCGTGCCGAATCAGACGTCTTTTTAAAATGATTTTGTATGGATTAAAATTTTACTATAATGAAATTGTGTATAGTATGTATTTACAAAATTAGCATTAGCAAAATCATGTGTTTAGACATGAAAAATAGTGCGAAGGGATAAAGACTAGCGGTTGTTCCAATGCATTAAGTGTCGTTTATTATTAATAAGGTTTTTAGATTATTTACCGAATAATGTCATCGTATTTATGAAATTCAGTTATTAGAAAATATACGTATTTTTTTACAGTCTATTTAAGAACACAAAACTACCAAAAAAGTAAATAATCTTTATAAAGACATATAAAATAAAACATCTAAAGGCTTCAAAGACTCAGACTTAGACAGAAGAAAAAACCCGTCAAACATTAATTGAGAGATAAGTGCTGCCAAATAAGATTTTCCACGATGTTTTCGTACAAAGCTGTCCCTCAAATCTTTTACTTTGTTTCGAAGGCATCTGCCCCTTTTCAACTCAAGTTAAACAAATTTTCCGTAACAGACTTTCTTGGGGCTCACCTCGAGGATTTGGGAGATCTACGAGATTTTGTATTTACCGTTTATTTTTATGTAGTTTTACTATATTGTGAGGCTGTAAGGTCTATACAAATCTCGGTACGTAAATTGGAATGATAATTACGTTTTGTAAACCGAAATACCTTAGTAACTAATTTAGTTACGTAACTTTTTTAATTTAATGGAGATATCCATTCATCACTTAGACGAAATAGCTCAGAAGTGGTTAGAAGTGTGCCTGAATGTTTTCGATGTAACTTATCCACTCCAATATCAAAGAGATTGAGAACGTTAAGTTATTGCTGTAACAATTTCGTATTGCCCTATAAAACCTTACTTTCGCTTTATTTATACGCAGTAAAATGATCAATATTTGATATTGCCTTTCGGTAGATACATTTAACTTCATATGACTTTTGTTTCTAAGTTTTTTTTCTTTCCGACAAAATCGAAAAGTGAGATAAAAGGCTTTGTTTATTACTAGAAACCGTTTTACTGTGTCTCGTAGAGGAGGTGTCAAAAATTGCTATTCAAAATTTATGAAATGAAACACTCTAATACATCAATTACAATTCGAAATTACTGCTGTCTTCAAAACTTTGTAGGAATATACGACAAAGGGAAGATCTTCCACCGAGCGGGTGATATTGCTCGGTAGACCGACGGTCCTGGTGTTGTTGCTCGGAACTTGTATATATGCGCTTTATCTTGAAAATGTCGTAAGCGAGATTCAGGCATCTGTCAATTATCTTGCGTTGTATGATGGCTACCCGCCACAACTTTAATGATTATTTTACAAATTTAGAGTATTAACACACACTTTAAAATTAAATAATGGTGAGTGGTCATCATATCTCATGGGTGCTTATTAGTAATAGCAGGGACTAAACGAACCCACAGTCTAGTGCTTAGAAAACATCGTAGAGAGGAGGTTGCGTCTAGGAAAATTGATTTCTGGAATCACTGTGAATCAAAATCATTGGATCTATTATATTATATAGTAATAGGGATGATCTGTAAATGTCACTGTACAGCTTGAGACAATTTGATGCTCTCGTAAAATAAAGAATAACAAACTAAATA